CACGTGCAGCCCCGCCTCCCCGGCCCCCAGCAACCCCATGAGACCCAAGCCCGAGACCCCGGCCGTCTTTCAGATACACCTGAAAATCGTGCTCAGGAAGCTCAGACTCTCCTTGTCCTCCTCCCCAGAAAGGTGACACTGGGGAGGTGACTGTACCCCCATGCTCACAGTTTCCCCAGTGGACAGTACCCCTCATCTCTGGACTGGGCAACCTGAGCTGGGGGCATGGAGACGCTTTCGAGGTTTAGAAGGGCCTGGCACTCAGTAGGTGCTCAATAAATAAATGCCTATTTCGTGAATGAGTGATTCTGTCGGTTGAGAGAAGGGACTTTGGTCTTCCTGAGCTTCCGCTTCACCCCACATAAAATGGGGGCATAGTTGTGCTCTTCTCAGATACCTCCCACTGCTACCCAGTGTTCAGGAGGTGCCAAATAAGTGCCACTGCAGCGACAGTCATCGATGGACTAATAGTTGGGTGTTTCCAACTTCATCCTGTCGCTGCTGCGTGTGAGCTGAGCTTCGAGATGGGTGACAGTAGCCAGAAGATCCTGGCTGTGGCCTGTGCAGTGGTGTGTGCCTGTCTTCCCAGCATTTTAGGAGGCTGAGGCAGGAGGATCACAGGCCCGAGCAACTTAGTGACTTAGTGAGACCTGTCAGAATAAAAAAGGGCTGGGGATGGAGCTCAGTACGAGGGCCCTGGGTTCAATCCAGTGTGCTAAAAACAAAAGCAGGCTCTTTCTGCCCAGCCCTGAAGCAGGGTCCTTCTGAGCCTGGCCTGACCTGGTGGGACACCAGGACTGGCAATTGTTGTAAGATGGGGTGCAGGAATGAGGGATCACCGGGCTGTCTCCTCACTGGTCCTAATGCTGGAGATGTAGCCGTAAGTAAAATAGAAAATCTATGGCACGCAGGGCTGGGAGTCCGGGCGGGTCATAGGGTGTTAGGGCAGAACCCCAAACAAGACGGAGGGGTCCCGGGGGATTGGAGGGTGAGGGCCTCGTGGCTTCCCCTGAGCACAGGTGCAGTGATGGTGCCCGTGTTGCACACTGGGAGGCCTGGAGAGACCCGGTGTCCTCCTGTCTCCACCCCATGCTCTCTCTGTTCCTGCACTGCTGGATCCCTGTGGCCCCAGGGCCTTTGCTTGGGTTCTGGCCCTGGAAAAGTCCTCACCATGATTGTCAGCTTCCGGGTCAAGAGACCTCCCTGGGGCAGTCCCAGCAAGAGAGGAGCCCCACGGGCCCCTGGCCCCTAAACTCTGCTCAGGGCCTTCAGAGTTCTCTGCTCAGAAATGCATCACATCGCCCATCTGCAGATCTGTTTTACTTCTGCCCCAGATAGGACCCCCAGTCTCAGCCAGTGTCAGCCAGCCCCAGTCTCAAGGCTGGCACTCAGCAGCCACTCTGTATGCTTGCTGAATGACCAAATTAACCCTTTCCTCACAGGGCAAGAGGAGAGGTATCTCTAGCTTTGACATCAGGTGGGGGAAGGAATCACCCAAGTTTGCAACTGTGATGCTAGATGGGCCTGGGTGTGAATGCAAACTCTGCTGCTCACCGGTGTGTGTGTTTGTGCTCTTCCAGCCCGGAGAATGGGGCACTGGGGTGAGAGCTTAGCAGGCTGCATAGGAGTTTCACTTAAGCAGAGGTGGATTTGCTGTTCACTAGAGAATGTTGGATTGCTTACCTTTGGGACTGGGAAGCGGGGGCACAAAGAGGGACACAGTCCAGGAGGATGACAGAGTTGGTCTCAGAGATCCCTGTTCTGTGTGGTCCAGGACTGGTTTAGGGTAAACCCTAGGGAGAACAGGGTGTGGGGGTGGGTGAGGAGAGGGCATTGAGGGATGTGTAGGAGTTCGGGAGAATGCTCAGCAAGCAGCGTGTCTCCTTTGTCCAGTTCAGCCAGTGAGGGCCTTGGGAGATGCCTGGGAAATGGGCTCTGGCTATTACAGGTCTTGTGGGACAAAGACAGGGATAGAGTCCTGGTCTCACCTGGTCTGACCTCCTAGGAGAGGACAAAGGAGAACCAGGCAGCAGGTCCATGACCCAGTTGCAGGCTGTTTGTCTTCCTGCCTCCCTGACTGACCTGCCAGGGTCATCAGTGACGTGGGCTCCCACCCCTGCCCGACTCTCTGGCACCTTCTGGGGGGGTGGGGAGGAGAGGGGCTTGGGGAAGGGGAAGGGCTAAGAGGGAGGGGCGGGGT